TTTTATCACTATTTGTCAAGTTCAGAAAATAGCTAAAAACAGACAACAATTACTTCATAATACCTATGTTTGTTAGACGTTTTTCAGTAAGGGTTACCTTCTCTGTACTGTGTGTGTGTGTGTGCCGTCTCATCAATCAATGCTTAACGAAAGAAAAAGCACATTTTATTTGTGATCGAAAAGTTAAAATAATAAGAGCCCACTTTGCTAGGGGCGTTGTATCGCTGAGATACTTTTGACATTTGGGCCGGATATCTAGTAGTATTGTTGATCAAAGTGTACCACAGATGAATGTAACAAAATGCCGCAAATCACAACGGTCGCGTTTGTTTTCACCAGCGTTGAGCAGGATTTATTGGTTGGTGTGCAAACAGTCGTGACTACGTGCAGTTTCGACAATATTTATTCATTCTTTGTGAAGAATTCATAGATATTATGCACATTGCAATGCGCGCCGGGTGAATATGAATGCAAAATTAAAATATCCGGAGCAAAAACTTTTAGCATTTCAAACTTATATGACATGCAGAAATATTTTAGAACATGAAATAATGATACAAAATAAATAAAAAAACATTTGAAACTACTGCTAACAAGTGTAACTGTAGTAGATTGTGATTGTGGTGTTTTTGTTTCACAGTAGTAAAGTTATAAGTGATATACTGTATCTGACTTAACATTTCATACGTATGCTCAGATTGTTCCACATATTTGAACTCAAGTGTTCCGTCAGAAAGTACATTAATAAGATAATATTGACCATACTTGACGGCACGATCTTTATGAGGCTGACTGTATCTACTTATTCTGGCGCCAATACCTAGTCACGTCATGCCTTCTCTTCAGACACTAACTCGCATGAGGATACCGGGTGCCTATGACATTATTAAAACTCAGGCGCATCTCTGCTTGACTGAAGCTAAAAAATTACGTGACTGCGTTGCACAATTGAAGCTCTCTCGTTGAAAAATCGCTCGGCCCGAAATTCGGAGCGGATCCCGAACGAATAAAGAAAAAATAACGGTGCCGTCCGCGCGGGCCACTTTACCGAGTGTCCCGAATAAATTATGGTGATGAAACTTTTAGTTGAAGTGTTATGCGGCGTGCACGATGCCTCACTCGATACTGATTCAAAAGTATCTCAGCACATAATACTAAGGTAAGGTATTTCTATTTTTATCCTTAATTTTATTTTCTTCATATTAGAATGACGGACCTTAGTAGACCCTAAATTGTGATTGTGATAGTTGTGAAAGTATAGGAAAACCTTATAAAAAGTCGTATCGTGTCGTCGCGTGGGTAGCCCAGTCTCACCCATTTCAGCCGCAAACTTGCTTTGTAAGATATATGTATATTTCGGTTATATGTGTAATTTACTAAGTACAGAGACATGATACTTACCATCAGGTGGGCCATCAACTTGTTTTGCCATTCAAATAATTTGTACATCAATATATATCTATAACAATAACAAACCAAAATTTATCTGAGACACAGAGGCACGATAAAAACGAAATAGAGGCATGTTATATGTTCCATTTATATTAACGTCGACAGTTGAAGTGAAGCTATATATATAGTATATTATTACTTGCGGACCCATCACACATCAGCCTGTACGAAAAACCAGTGTCAACTACCGGGTCCAAACCGGGTTTTTAAACCATCCAGCGACTCATTGATATGTACACATAAAATCTCAATCAAATCAGCCATGTCAGGCCATGTTTACGAAATATTAATAGCTTTATTTCTATTTACTTGTAAACAGTGTAGGCATAAGAAACTGCATCTGTTAAAATTATGGAGCGGGAAGATATCTATTGATGCGTGCAGATAGCATGTCACGGTACTGTTCAATACGTGACTGATCGTTACATGTCGATATTGATGTATGCGGAACATTTTTTTGCTAGTTCGTCTGAAAATTCAAATCTGGTAATAGCACAATAAAATATATTAGTACTAACTGTGGCCGCAACTTCATCCGCATGAAATTTATTGTCTATGTTCTGATATGTAAGCTGTATTACTGTAAAGTATCATAAAAATGCGTTTAAGTAGTTTTTGCCTGAAAGAGTAACAAACATTCATTCATCCATCTATCCATCCATACTCATAAACTATCGCATTTAAAATATTAGTAAGCTTATTTCAGGGATAGTTTTCTTAATTTTTTAAAGGACAAGGATAGAATATTTTTCGGTACCGATAACGGCGTACGCTAGTGATATGGTACCAATGAACGAAGGGATACTGGCGATGAGCTCGCTTGTAACTGATCTAACTTCATGATTATCCTATCATCTTCCTCTGGCTTCCTTCAACGTATAGAGTAGGAGAGTACACTATTACATTTTTCATGTTCTTTATTACTAGCAATCCCTTCCGGCTGTCGATATAAGTAATTATTTGTATTAGGTATATTTTTTTATTACTATAGTACCGCAGATAAATAGAGCGCAGGCTTAAGCAATAGAAAGAGATATTGGAAAGGGGTAGGGAGATGTATGCCATGACTTTTTAGGCACTTCGATGACCGCAATTTCATAATGGACGTTTCATTTCCTTTTAGGATTTCTTTTTCAGGCAAAGTGTTTTTTCTAATAGTAACTAATTGATGATGGTATGATAATTAGGCATAATACTCTACCACAATAAAAAGAAAGAACAGTGTTCATTTATATGCAGTGTTTCAATAGCCAAATTGTTTTTCGAGATATCTGTGGGTTAGCTTCAGGGTTTCGACAAAATTTGCCCTAGAACCTTATCCATTACTACAATATCTATAAAAGACTGTCTACGCAGATTACTTCGACCCACATTTCTCAAATAGTGTTCTTTACGTATTTTATACATAGGTTCGTTACAAACTGAAATTTTAATTTCAATGATATATATACATATCCTTAAATACAAAACCATAAACTTTTAAAAATTACAAATCAAACAAGTCTACAGTGGCTTATATTCGTACATTTACTCATATCACTGTAACCAGATATTAGGTAATATTCGAGTATCATTCGATTTCAACTAGCATTCCGACCACAAATACGCTAATTTCGGTAAGTTGAGTAGGTATCATAATTGTGTATACCCAATTATCATTTAGCCATAACATCATAGCAATTTACTGTGTATTCTGTAGTATTGTTAGCATTATTTTCCAGTCACAAGGTTCAGATATACCAGTTTTACCAGAGTAATATGAGTAATTATTCTTTAATATGCATAAAATCCAAGGAGTTGTCCACTCGGAAAAGGTATTTCCGTAGATATTATAAAAATATATACCTTATAATATGAAAGCTTTGTATCATTACTGTCTAGATTCGAAGCGTGAACAAATTAATTAATGAAATATTTGCTTTGCTTTATGAAAATATAATAAAAAATAACAAATGTCAATAATTTTATTCCACCCGCTTTTCAAGGAAACAGGGTGAGGTTTCTTTCCGGGTAGAGTATGAATAAAATGTCAAAACAACCAGCCCGAAAACAAATATTTTTCATTACATTCATAAAATATGCTATAGAAATAGAACCTACCAAAGTGGCTACGCATCAAATAGTACTTTTAAAATAATTTAAAGATGATATATTTTCATGTTAGATGTCTTATTTCTGTCTCACTATAATATACTGTGTCGTCAACCAATAGATGAAGAGAGATATTACGTAATATAAAATGTAAAAAGTGTCAAAAAAATCTTGTCTTAAATGAGACATAAATCTCATTATTTCCTCATTTCCTATATTTTTCCGGCCATTATATTACGCTATACAATTAAAAACTATGTTCTGATTTGTAATAATTGTCTATACTTAGACAATGTTACATTTCTACTTTCTTTGTATTACTGAATATATTTTAGTTATGTTTTGAAATCTTATCTCCAGTTATAATGGATTTTTTAAATACAAGCGACACGCCGCGGTTTCGTACTGGTAGTAGAATATTATATTATACATCATAAATTCTACAACTAACTCGTCAGAAACTACTCTGTAGAATATATAACACTGTGCATGAAAATCGGTTCAGTAGTTTTTGACATTATCGCAAACATATCGACAGACGCGGTAAATTACTTTGTGTATATAGTGTATATACAAATAGGTATATATTATGTTAATAAGTAAATACCGAAACCATAAAATCCAATAATTCTACAGATTTCAAAAATAGCATATACTTACAGAAAAATTTCAAAGAATAAAATTATGAAGCCTAAACGTTCAGGTTTATTAAACACTGGGTGCCCTCGAAATGGGACGGAAGCACATTAATTCAAGTGCAACACGAAAAATGCATTAGAGCCCTCTCGTCCGTTCGTCGTTGTCCTGCAATGTCCCATTCAGAGTAAGTAATCTGCAGTCGATAATATAAAGTGAAAAAGACAGATTTTCACTCTTTTATCCCAACTTTAAAAAGGTTATATAGATGGATAGATAAGGGTATCTTTATAGTACCTACCTTATGTATTACAGAATAACTACACTGATTTTAATGAAACTTTTTATTATCCTTAATATTTTCTCTGATGTTGATTTTTCAGTAATAATATAACAAATGAAGTTTAGTGTATTCAACACATGTGTACCTATATATACTTCGTATATAATTTTCAAACCTAATTTAAGTATTGATCACCTAATTTCTGAAAATTTTGTAATGTATGTATATAAAGTTTAATAGTTATATGCTTACTTTTTGTATTTATATTGATATACCTACTTGCGTCTACCCTCTATGGAGTTTATAACTACTAAAATGGAAGTACCTACTTATGATGCCATAAGGCATTGATGACTTTTAACTAGTAATAGTCATACCCACGTGAGGCAGAAAAAGTTACCACAATAAATATGCATATTCTATATATATTTCTTTGTACATACTTTACATCTCGCGCCCTTTGATCTTGAATATTTTCCTCATATTATTTCTGTTTTATAGAAATACAACAAATAACAGTACATAGGGTTTCTTAAGGACATTTATTTCAATTTTATATTTCAGTATTCATAAATTACACATTTATTGTCAAAGTCAACGTAATAGCACAAGATCTCGAGATAATAAAGGCATACAAAAAAGTTGGATGGAATTTGTAATTAATGTAAAAAGTAAACGAACCAGTACCAATCCAAATTTTTTGATGCCATTTTTAAAACAATAGTGAATAGGTAGTTGCTATATGAAAAGTTTGTCTATGTAAAGACCTACTAATTCGCTTATATCTATTCAGTTAAACATGTCAAGGTTATTTTAGTATGTCGAATCTATTTCAAACACTATAAGTATATTATTGTTAACTCAGTTTTTATTCATTAAAATCCATGCATTTAATTCAAATTTTAACATTTTATTTGGCTATACTGCATATACACAAAGCTTTTTACATTTAACCACAAATTAGTAATATAATAAATTTACATCATTATTATACATAAAATATCACATCGTCCACACAAATAGTGTGGCAAATAATAATAAATTAAATATTACTTAAATCTATGTACTTCCAACGTTAAATATTAATTATGTTAACTTTCACCGCCATTGAACAAAAAAGTAGTAATGACGTATAAATTTTTCGCATGCAATAACTGTTATCAGCAAATTCGTCTACATAAATCTTTCATTACTTATTTTCCCCATTCCTGTTTAGTTTTTTGTGAGATGAAAAATCCATTCAGCGGATTAGTTTCGAATGGGTCACAAACAAACAGATAGATACACTTTTGCATTTAAAATATTATATAGTAATATTAGTATTTACATCAATGACGCGGGTTGTTGCGGATGTCTACGGTTACATACATATGTAACCGCAGATGTATGTAGCATACAACATCCGTATAAACAAAAAGCGGATAAAAACCATAGTGATTACTTGCTCAGTGGCATAAACAAGAAAATGCATGCACTATCGGCAGAATGCGTGCACCGCCAGCTGCGTCAATACAAGCAAACTATCGCCGGATTGTCAAAGTAACAAAGTTGTACGAGTTTCATGCAAATAAGAACTTAAGGCGAAATCATTTACTTATACTATATATATTATATAAGTATTGTATAAGTAACTGGACACGTGGCGTTACGTGTTAAGGTTATTAGATATTATAAATCAGAAACTATTTTTTTATTACATGACCTAATGAAATAAATGTATAAAGATGTTTAAGTTTAGTTAATTATGTATAAAAAATTCAAGAACTAAAACCAAAATAAAATATATAATATCATATACTTTGAAAGTTTTAGAAGGCACGAGAAATAGTCCCGGCCTATTGTCACGTACAATCTGATTGACTTTACAAAATTATTATCAATCAACTTAATTTCTGAGATTTTGTATGACTTCAGAATATTAATTGTCTTGGTATAATGACAATAGATCATAATTAACGATAAAATATTAAATAATAATGTAGCTAAGTTAACAAGTATGAAAATTATTTGCATAATTAATTAATTAAATCATTTATTAATGGAAGATTTTTATTTATTTCTCTAAAGTAAAATTACCGAAATATTATACTGTTATTACATTGTATTGACGTATCGCAGTACTGTGAGTAACAGAGCATACAATTGTGGCGGTAGATGCTGCGTCAGAAAATATTGGTGTGCGTGAGAGGCGGCTGGTCTGGCGCGTGCTGATGGAAGGTTTCGCGCTCGTTGCCATGCCGCTCCGGAGACCATTGGCTCTTCCGCTCCGAACCCATTCATGTTCAGTTCTATTTCTAAATATTGAAAAAGGTAATGTTTCATTAAGAACCTTTTTTAGAAATTTCAAAGAATTTGATCATTGCTATCCAAACTGTCTTATAATTTATATAAATATCTTTTGTTTTGAAATTATTTTGATATATACTTTTGAATTTTTGAAATTAACAAGCTTGGTTAATGTAGAAAAGATTGCAGATGTTAAACAATAATGTTAATTAGATGTTAAATAACAATACTAACAATAATGTCTGTACCTGACTTGTATCTGAACTTAATTAGATAGAAGTTAGATTGCAGTCGAAAAAATATCACTACTCAATATTATTACTATCAATATACTGCGCCTATATTAATCTCGAACGCATATTGCTAAAAAAATGTTAAAATCTATCAATATGTAGATTCTATTAGACAGCGAGCACAAATGTGAAAACTACATTCCGACGGGTTTGAAAATATACAAAAAATAAAGTCTAAAAATGTGCGCCCGAAATAATAGCTTTGTTAATATTTTATACTACGAGGAGAAAGGAACAAAACTAACGAGTCGAGTTTGCAGTTGCTGCAATAGTATTAAGTATACGTATTTGTATATCTATAATATATCAACATAAGCTAAGAAAAAGAGGGCATTGTTGCATCAACACTAAAATATGTAATATTATATTATCTATGCTAAAACGTAAGTAAAAGTATCAATGTATCTATAATTTTCTACCACTAGTAAAATAGATCAAAACATAAAAACTGTAGTTATAATGTAACTCACTATGCAAGCTAACTTGACTCTCCATCTTGCCCAGCGCATTGACAGACGCGCAAACATAAGTACCGTAGTCACCCAACGCTAGTGACTTTATGGTTAAATTCATCCATCTTGAATATTCATTCACAATACCGTCTAATATCCGTAACTTTGGATTCTCCAAAAGTTTGTCACTTACTAGAGCTGAAAAACAAAAAGATATGCATTGTTTATATATGGACTTATTGATATTTTTTTAAACAAAATAGCTACTGCAATAAAAAGTACCAATAAGTCCAAACACAAACAATTAATCATTTATCATTAATACATTTACAAATACAATTATTACAACAATATTTATTTCGGATATTAGGCACATAAAATTGTAAAGGAAATAATATGGCATAAAAATAGACCCAAACGTTACAAGTATTTTTCTAAGTATTCTCGTTAGGATTCTTTACTTATAATTGTTTTCTCTGCATTCAGATTTGTTATTCGGAAATAATAGAGAAGGAGGACAGAATGTGATTATATTATTTTATCATTAAGCAGAAAATAAATTTTGAGTACCCAAATGACTACGTATATATTTTTATAATCCATAAAAATACTTAAAATTTTTCTTCCATATTCATGTAATAAAATAATCACAAGTCTTAATATTATATATGTATTATAAAACAAGTATAACAAGAGATAAGAATATGCATATATATTTACATTTCCCGTCTTCTCTGTACCAGGAGTTCATAGCTTTGGGTGAAGCTTCAATATAACATTGCAGTTCCACATCACTGCCGAGAGGTGCTCCCACTAGTTGATTCGTAACCTTCACTTGAGGGATAACTACAACAATAAGGAAATTAATTTTAACGACTTCTAATGAATTATCAAATCAAATGCAAATGCTATCATATAATATACCAGCAAGGAATTTACAATGTTGTCCTTGTCATACTGATTATTCTGTATTCTTTTATAACATACGTATAATGTAGATAATAAACATACATTGAGAAAAGCATCGGAATACTAATAACACTTACAAATGTTGAATACTAATAAAAAGGTGCAATAGTAAAAAGAGACCGTCATATCAGTTATTTTTAAAAGGTCAGACAGAAAAAGGTTTGGACAAACATAGAATAGCTATTTACGTGCAAAAACGGTTTTGTTACAGTTATTAGGCAAAGGTTACAGTAGCCCGCGATTTAATATGCAACACATAAGCGACAAAAGCAAACCATAATGGGTTCACTCAGTCGGGCTGAAAATCTTTGACAGTATTTAATTATTTAGGCAATACCTGCACCTGTTAGGCTAATTATTTTTTATTGTATTTCTAATTGCTACAGCTACATTTGCACGAATGAATATATTATTAAAATTTTTAGAAAACTTAAAATGTAATAAACTATACTAATATTATTTTATTTGAAACGGAAGATTAAGTCCTCGTTGTTTCATTAGCAAATCGTTTGAAGCCAGGTTGGGATTCTATGTAGTTTGTAACAACTATGTAAAACTAAGCTCTATATATAACTTTTAAAAATATAAGGGTAATTTTCCCCGAGACTAAATAAATGTATGTAGAGAAATAATTAAGACAAACTTACAATGTACTTCCACATGATATCGACGACTGACTGTAGGTGGTATGCCATTGCTTGCAATGCAGTAGTACGCCCCCATGTCGGTCCGTTGGACATGAGACAATTCCAAGCTTTCACCTTTGTAGCTATCTACCACTAGAAAAAACAATATTATTTTAACATTGTTATACATATACATATATTTGAGAATGCACGCACCATCTTGATCTTACGAATCATGCTAATTTGTACCCAAGTCACTAATATCAAACGAAAGTTGTTCTCTATTCACGTTTATATGTACAATTTACAAATAACAAAAGGTGATTTTTATTATTAGTTTTATGAGAAAAATATCTTTCATTTCGGTCAATATTGTTGTACATAACTACATAAAATCTGGGTTTAGAAGTCTAGTAAATTATCAATTTTATTTATTTAAATTTTTGATATTAATTATTAATGTAAGAAAATAATGAAATAGTCATTATTTTCTTACATTGCCATATCATAGACCTATTGGTAAATGATTGATTAATTGCAGTGACTTTTTATTTATTAAATATTTTTTATTTATTCAACTATATATGTTTTGGCAAATAAATTAACGGCCCACCTTATTGTAAGCGGTAACCGTCGCCCAACAAGAATAACACTGGACATCAAGTTATCATATAACACCTCTGATACAACTAATATATCGCCGCTCAAGAGGATTAATATGTCATGCTTTTTCTAATCGCACCCTACGAGAGAAACACAACTGACAAGACAATGTGATTGTCGGTTGGCGACATTTTTTTATTTTATATTAAAAAATGGTCTGAGGGTATAATAACACTACTAAAACAAAATCTAGTACTTTAAGACATGTATGCGTATCGCGTAAGGATTTTTTTTTAATTTTGCCTACAAACATTATGTACCTATTTGATACCCGTGTATGATTTCAAAAATATGACAAACCAGCATAGAGACATAAAATGAGTATCCATTAATGATTCAGTTACTAGTAGGCATTATGAATGAAATAAACTTTTTCTTTTTTGCCATTTTCTAAGGTAAAGAGTACATTAAGATACTATCACTGCACAAACTCAATCTGTGGGGAGTGCAGTACTGGAGTCCGTTTAAGCAGTTTAATAGTTTTAAAAGAGGCAACATGTTTATAACTTATTTTAATAGAATAGAAAATCGTTTTGTTTAAAAAAGTTAGTACCATTACCACTAGTCAATATTTACAGCTATTTGACATTAGCCAAAATATTTAGCATTTATTTCACCTATGGCATTATGTATTATATTATATATGTATGTATATTAATCATCGTAGGAGAATTAGAGGAAATAAAAATTCACTCATAAAGTGGATTTTAAAAATTCATTCATACAAATGGATTCGAATTCATGATCCATAACGTCTTCTTGCGGTAATCACCATATAGTTTACTATGGATACAGCTATGCTCTTTTAATTCAATGATAACATATACCGTATAGAATTTCTTGATTTATTTCATAATATACAATAATATTTCCTCTCCCGAAATAAATGATATGGAAATACATTAAATATACCTATTATGGTTAAAAAAACTTTTGCGTTACACACGAATCCACTTAAATGTTTTTATTTTTAGTACGCGACCTTTACAAAGAAACAGTACGAATTAAACAGCATTAATTTTGCAAATAGGTAAATGTTAAAAATAAACGCGACCCTCAGCTTTTTCCATGGATGAAAGAATTCAACGATGATGAAACCATATAAAAAAATTTTGATTATATTACAATAATAATGCTGTTTAATTTTATGCTGCAGAAGCGCCTCAAGAATTTGTATTTGAATGACCCATTTCGACTTTGGTAACATATTTAAATACATCCAAAATATTGTTTTATAGAAATAGCACCATCTTCTAACTCTACGCAATACTCAATAGGTTATATAGGATTTGTTTTATCCACTTCAAAATAGTTCTATGAAAAACTAGCGTAAATCTTATTATTATTAATTTTACAAACCTTATGAATATGAAGAATGTAGGTAATTTTAATATCAGTACAAAACATATCGTGTAAGCGGGGTTTAAAAGAATAAATTACGAGGAAAAGTGGTCGCTTTAGGTGCACACTGTTAAGTAATCTGACATTATTTGTATATGGTGTCTTCCTAACTTTATTTAAACAGAATTTGAGCTCACTCATGCGTGAAAAAAAATATTCCGAAGCTGTTAGGGACGAGATGAAGCGTCGACGTCGAGTGCCGAGTTCTCTCGTTTTACGGAAATATCGTCCATTCTGAAATCGCTTTTGAGTATAAAATCTTTTATTATGCGAACACGGTTCATTTAACGCAGCATTAAGTGAATTTGTCGAACAACGTATTTTAAAAATGAACGGGTAAAAGAGCTGTAGAATATGGTTGAGAGAAAATTGCGAGATGTCGCTGAGTGTATTGTGTTTTCATTCGTTCTAGTGATGACTATCAGTAGCTTAGTTAAGCTTAAACATAAAGTAATGAGTACATATATTCAAATATGGTTGATAAACACTGAGCTCTTAGAGGATTAGCGCACCTTAGTATACGTCCAGTGGTCGCAGATTTGATTCTTGCACGATATAAACATTTCCATTCATTAGTGTAATTCTATTATATTGGTGTATTAAATGTATATTAATAATATATTTATGTATATAATGTATGCAAGTATATGTCCTTATCAGTTATTTTGTACCCATATTAGTTTGTGACTATTGTATGATTTGTTCTTAGTAATTTGCCTTTACTATATTTTAATTGACGTCTACATATCATTAATTTTAATTAGAACGTGTATCTCCTAACTAACGTGGATCTACACACTAAACTGCCTATTATGTCTTATCCTAAATAGGTAAATCTGTCCAAACAATCTGTTTGAGAAGGCCTCTGAAGATTCAATCGATTTCATCATGAAGATGATATAATGGAACCTGACTAGTCAAAAATATACTAGGTAAAATATAGAATGTACCAAATTCTATATACAAGCCAAAACTGTAACCAATTTGCGAAATAAATACATAAACATGCTCAATCGATAAACATATAACAATAAGTACCTACATACTTCTAAAATACAAAATATCTACTTAAAGCGAATTGCCAGCCGTACTGCTTAGAGAAACAACTGAATATTTTATTCAAAAGGTATTCGATCAAGTCTTTAATTCAGTAATACAATTGTAACAAACGACTATTCGAATAATTCTATTTCGTAACATTTCCCTAGAATAATAGAGAACATATATTTGTAATTAAAATCAGTCCAGGAATTTCAATATTATCAAACTATTTGTAAAGCAGAGCATAGGACATTAACAAACTGCACGTAACGCTTAACCGAACTACAATCAGGCTGTATAAATTAGTAGTAAGCGAGCCATGAAAATCGATGTTAGTGCGAGCCCGCCGTTAATGACAATCGAACATTTATTACACATCAAAGAGCGAAATGGCTCGCTAACTGCGTCCCGATGGGTTATTATCCACTGGTACTCAGTCAATCAACCAAGATACACTATGATGCTGCTTAAGTCTAAAAGTAAGTATATTCCGACAAGGTTGCAATAATCTTTTAAAAAACCCCCAACTTTTTAAATAAGATGCATGGAAATCATATTTTTAAAATCCCTATTGTTGAATATTTTTTGCGAGTGTACAGACATGGATATTACTATTTGCATTATTGCAAAAAATATTCAACAAGTAGCTCCAAGTAATTTCTTGATTTATTGAACTTTTAAGAGCATTTTGTATAAATAACTTCTTTGTTGAAACTCATCTGTAACCGACATTTTAATCCAAAAACCGAGGGCGCCTCTGCCGACTATAAATTCGTACGTGACCGAAATAAAAAAAAAAACTTAATCCCAGTAATTTTTTACCCGAATCAACTGTACGAACAATGAAAAAGTTGCTTAAGGTCATGATGATTCTTCTTTAATTTATAATTAACAATATAAATATTTTAATATATAATTTATTTTGTGTAAACACAAGCAAAACGACCTAAACATACATGACTTACCAATATATTTTATATTACACGAGTACTTATAAGAGTAGTTTTACCAAAAGGATGTTATGCGGTTGGAAGTGACAGAAGAACCTCGTCAGTTCTTCCAAAAATAAATTCATGGGTTATTAATTATATTTTAATTCCTTACAACATTGCAGGTTGGTATATGTTGCGATTATTAACGAAATATTTGAATTGAGCCTTAACAAATATTATTGTTTATGACCTAAACCCGCTATATTGCAGTGGTGCAGTACTCATATGTACCTATCGAGCTATCTATTTCTGAGAATTGCTTGAACAGGGGCGTATTATATTACTAATGGCAATGTACCCGACGCAGCATTTTCTATAGGAAGCTGGTTCAAACCATATGAGAAGGAGGTAATATGGTATATGTCTAATATGGTATATGGTAGAAATGTTCTCTGAATGATATAATTTCATCAAGTTCTTGCATGTGAGCGTGAACTGAGAGTCAGTATTGATGATAATCTTAATCTTATTATAAATGCGAAAGTTCTAAGTATGGATTTTTATTACTCTTTCATGCAAAAACTACTAAACGGATTTTGAGTAAACTTTACAGTAGTAAAGCTTATGCATCAGAATAACACGTAAGCTATTGAATATTTTGAAATTTAACGCGAGTGAAATCACGGACACTGCTAGTATTAGGTATATACATTTTCACACCTGCCTATAATAGCAGAAACAATATTCACATATACTCATTACTTTAAGTCGCCCAAGCCAATGTAAATGTACATTTATTATTAAATCTCTGTGGTGTGATCATTATACATCGTTCTGACAAGATTGCTTAATCTCCCTAAGATTTGATTACAAGAGAATCTAATTTCCACAAACGGTTTTATGTGAACCACCCTTAAACTGTTTCTATTTGACAAACTGAGGGCACTCTTTCAATTTACTTTCTTGACTGTTCTTTAATAAGACTCTTACTTTTCCACTGAAGTTCAAACAAAAAAGTAATTAAGGTCGGTTCCTGCAGCGACATTAAATAAATCGAAATGAGTGAACAATGAAAATCGTTTACTTATAGTCAGTGTGTCCATCTAGTCTATTCAA